TTTGTTTAAAAATTATTATTAAACAAGTTTTTTAATAAAACGCCTTTTTGTTTGTTTCGCACAAGGTCTCAGATTCATTATTATGACTTTAATTTCTGTTATTCACTTTACTCTCGTTTTAAAAATTAAAAAAAATGGTCCCGAGTAGGGATCGAACCTCAACTTTTCGAGTTGGTGTTGATTTAGGGTATGAAAAAACGGCTTTTATTTATATTTTACTGAAATTTGGCAACAATTATTATTAATTATTAGCGTTATATAAGCGTCTAGACTAGAATTTCTGGTTTTATTAATTTTTTAATTAGTGATTTACTAATTTGGGATCTAAATGGAGAAGTGCGGAAATGGGGGCAGGTTACTTTCCGGATTGTTATCTCTCACAAGCCTTGAATTATATCTTAATGTCGCACGATTTGTCGAGAGATTGTAATAAGGTCGCTATGTGAATCTAAGGCTGCTTCTGTTCATTAGTCGCATATTATAGCGACATTTCAATTGAAAAAGGTAATTTATTAAACAGTTTATCGGCTAATGATATTATAAGTAGGAAAAATTGCGACGGAGACATACATAATTAAGTGGTTAGAGGAGAAGATAGATAGAATGATGCAGGTAGAAGCGGAAGGAATATTTTTAATTTAAATAACTCGTAAATAGATTTTTTTCTAGAGCTTTTTTAAAATCCAATTCAAAATTCATTTTTACAGCTTAAAGCTCGCTTCAAATTCATGTAATGACATCGATCGTTGCTACGACCGACTTGTGTTATTTATTTTTTACCTTGGAAACGACAATTAAAATAAACTGATTAAAAAATTGCTATGTCTGCTTTTATTTTTTTTTACCTGACCTGACTTGAAAAAATATTCTTCCTTTGTTTAAGTTTTATGAAATTATTCAAATAATTAGTAGGTAACTCGTAAATAGATTTTTTCCAGAGCTTTTCCAAGATCGAATTCAAAATTAATTTTTACAGCTTAAAGCTTGCTTCAAATTGATGTAATGACATCCATTGATTTGTTTTATTTATGTGTTGCCTTGGAAACGACGGCAAACAGAATCAGTATTTTTTACATTAACTGAAGTAAAAGAGCTATAAATGTATTTGTGACTAGAATTTTTATTTATCACCTGATTTCAAAAATTAAAAAACAAATTAAATGTCTTTTAATATAGTATAAGATGACAATTTTAGAATTGTTTAAATGCTAAAGTATATTTTGGGTTGTATTCGATTTTCTAATACTATATAGGGACCCAAATTTTTTTCCATAATTTAGGAGACATTAGTTTTCTTGGTAGAGACATGTGCAATATGTTCGACTTTTTCTAAAAATTATTATTTAAAAAAATTATCACTTGAAAAAACATTAAAAAAATGAAAAAAAATCTGGTTGGAGTCAATAAAAAATGACTTTAACAATAGTTTTATTAAAAGTAAACAAAATAAATAAATAAATTTGCTTTTATTTGCTGCTTTTTGACATTACAGTAATGACATTGTGTTAGATTTGATTAACTTTTATTATTTTTTTAACTTAGATAATATTTTTTAACAACAATTTTTAGTAAAAATATTGCTCCGTGGTCCCCCTCTTCAAAAACAATTGCCATTTTTCGCGAGAGAGATAGTTTATTATTTTTTACACGGGTTGAGAGCGTTGGAGCTATCACGTTTTAGTAATTAATAAACAAATTATTACCAAAAAAATTTACACAAAATTGACTAGAATTGATCCAGTTCTCCGTTTAGTAATTTTCAATCATCAAAAAATAGACATAAAATGCTCAAGAAACAATTATTTTTCCGACTTGTTTGCCACCGAAATTAACTCCAAGAGAAAAATGGAATTCAATTGATGTTTCCTCTTATTTTCACATTACACTTTTGTATTTTTCTGTTTACTATTTTCTTGTTTCATTTAGTCTTCCTGTTTAGTTACATTAAAT